GCTATTATACTTTTTTGTGATGTGGCACCCCACAGTGTCCCCTACGAGACAAAAGACAATTGTCTAGTAATGGAACACTTCATTGCATTCACTCATACTTCTACTGCATTGCATTCACTCATACTTCATCTACTGCATGCTTGATCTGGATCAATGACTCAAGGAATTTAAACAAGAAACGGTGAGGTAACATTTTTAGAAGGGAGCCGCAATGGCAGCCTACATATTAATCTCAGTGCAGGTATGCTGTTTTAAATGGCAGTCCAGCATATTGAGGACCTCCTTGAAGTCACACTTCATAAGCAGATGTATTCAGTCCACCCACGTGCCAAAACGATCATTAGATCTAAAATTATATGTAAGCTTTATCTCTTTATGGAACTTGCCCTCTCCTGCCTTCCAACCATCTCGATTTGTCAGTGAGGCTTCCATAACATATAAGGTTCAATAGCCTTTTATGTGTTTTTTTTCATGAGGTGCTCAGTTTGAAATGTTGAGGCTTGTGTCAGGTTTATGTAAATAATCTTTATGGTTTGCAAAGAGTGGTGCATGTCAAGAATGCTGGTGTCTATAATAAAAACATACAGATCTGAATAATTCAGGTTTCTCTGTTATGCTTCAGAGGGACTTCAAACATCTAAGTATATCATTCAGTAAATGACTACTGATAACTTAAAGCGGACCTTTACACTCAAATATCAAATTCTACCAATGCATCCCTCTAAATATGATGATTAATAATAACATAGACATGTCAGGTGTAAAATGCTGTGATTTTGAAATACTTACACTTGCAGAGCATTCACTTCCTGCTTTGAAAGTGCAAATGACTTAAGTTTGCCAACGCAATGCACACTGGGATTGTATTGTCATCAGCAGAGAATAGCTGGGAAATCTCAACTGTAATCGCATGAGATCTCAGGGAAAAGCATTTTTCCCCGCTGAGATGATGTGCATGGTCACATGTCCTAGACACATGTCTAGTCACATGTGACAGTAATTCAGGAGAAGTAAAAGGAGAGCTAGTAATCTGCCCTTAGTAAACATGGCCACTGTCAGACGACTTGTGAAGAAAAGAGAAATAATGTATGCAAATATTACAAAGCCTGCAGTTATCTAGAAGTATGTGTTTGTGTGTTTGTTGATTGTCATTATTAGACATTTCTAAAGGTGTGTTTCTTGTTATTTTTAAGATATGGGTAAAGGTCCGCTTTAAAGGTAACCTATAAGAAATAGTGTTTAGTAGAGAAGTAATGCAAACTAAATGGCTATGGCTACATGTGGTAAAAGCTGGACATTTTGTTATCCCCCTACAGTTTCTGGTCATCCTTGAAAAATTTTGAAAATATAATAGCACAAGAGCTTACAAGTTAAATGCTTGGTCTCTTTCCGGAACTAGATCTTTTAAATGGTCCAGTTGCTTAATGACAATTTTCAAAAGGAATAGGAGATGTCAAGAAAACCTCTTATAACAGTAACATGAAGGCTGACCTGAAAATGCCAGTTGCTTTGTTGTCAATACTTTCAGTATTTCAGTAATACTTTCAGTAGAAATACACAAATCAAAACTCCAACTTTTTGATTCCCATACATTTTCCAGGTCAGTGATAATCTCTCTCTCTCTCTCTCTCTCTCTCTCTCTCTCTCTCTCTCTCTCTCCCCCCTTAATTTAACAAAAAGTTTAATAGGCACTACTATTTGAAGAGACCCTTCAAGTTCATTTAAATAGAAAGTCAACCTTCTTCCCTGTAGTAAAGCTATAAAATATGTACTCTCCTTTTAAGAAGAGGGATATTTATAGTGTATAGTAGAAGTAATGATTATTTCCTGTTATATTAAGGTGACAGTTTGACATATTATTAATTGCTACAATACATTTTAATCTTCCTTTTTTTCTAAGCAAAGGTTTTAGTAAAATACAGAGTGCTGATGTAGGTAAGTTATTGCTTAGCTCAACCCAGTGGGTTAATTTTATTTGTAAAATCACTACGGGCCTTTTATCCAGCAGTTAAGGTTTTCAAGCACAGGTTATAAATCCTGTTATTTTCCATGGCTAAGTGTAAGACACCAGGCCAACATTGTATGCGTCTACCTGTGAAGAGTGTTGATTAATTAAACATACGTGACAGTTAACAATACAGCATGTAGATGTCATTCTGCATTTTATATAACAAGTCACATCATAACAGCTCAAAAGCATAATATGATATAACATATATGTCATGAATCAAGCCAGGCACTTCAATATATAGCCATGCATCATGACAATATCACACATAATTACTTATTGATTAGGAACAGGAAGACAGAAATTTCATTGCTTTTACAAAGCAATTCTTTTTATCGAGTTTATTTTATTAAAGTCTGAGTAAGACTTCAGATTTCAATTGTGAAAAGGCCACAAAATGCACAAGAAATAATTTCTAATTCTATAATGCTATAAAAAGGAAAATATGTTAAGACATACACCGTCCTCAATACAATATTGATTGTTTTTTCAGATCCCAAAAGTTTACACATGTATTTGTACCATCAATCCGGAGAACGAAAGGGAAACATCAGAGATAGGGAAAAGTTTAAAGCACTAATAATCCCTTTAATATAAAATGCTTATAGTGCTGCAGACCTCTGCACTTACCAGCTTTGCTGTGACTTTTTCTTTCAAAACCTGTAGTTGCGTTGTATTCCCTCTGTCAAAAGGGACTCTTCACCAGTTCCTGCTTTAGGGTAGCTCCATCCCCTTGAAAGCCCCCTTGGAGCCACCTCTGTGTGAGCGCTGCCAGCTAAGACTACAGCCAAGTATCCATCCACGAACACATTGTACAAAAAGCCTACAGCAGCAGACTACTCCTCTGCTCCTCCTTCTTCCCGCCTCCTAGCAGGTTGATTCACAGCAGCATGAGCCTGCATTATTAATATGACTAGTTTATTGTGACGTTCTCATAGTGCGTGTTTCCCTATGCGGAAGTTCGGGTAAGCAGCACAGAGCACTGTGGAGCTGATAAGAAGAAAGTAAAGGTTGGGCAAAAAATGGGCAATGCACTGCAGAATGATTCACTCCTTGAACAGAGGGGATTAATTATAATAAAAGTGAGCATTTAAAATCACTTTAAGTCTATTGTATTTCTTTTAAATAGATTAGGGGTTAAGGCAGGGATAGGGTTAAATATTGAACTGAGCAAATAGATTTGGGATGTGGTTGTTTTACCGTGGCAAGCCATTGCCACAAATTAAAGAGCCTTTAAATCATACAAGTAAGCCTAATGTTGCATCTGCTTGCTTAAAAGAATACGGTAAAATATAAATAAAACATTTTGAAAATGATGTTTTAGTTCTAACCATAATACATAATTAACAATATTCCCTTTAACATAGACCATTGTGCTCTCATGAAAAAAGGGGGTTCTGAGTATATGAAGTTGTATATATGGACTGAGAACTGATATATTCAGTGTATGAACTCGGATTTAGTTGATTGAGAATGCGGTGATGTTTGTGAAATGATGATTTTCAGGTCGTATTAACTTTTAGGAAGTTTTAATATATTTATAAGACTTTTTCTGTTTATCAAAATGGGTGCCTGTTTTAATTGTTTTTTTTCTTCAACAAATTTTGGTTAATAGTTTCAAATATTGATAAAACTTTCACAAAAGTTTGAATTGCATTTTGTCTCTAGTTTGTTGTGGATTTCCCATTACTGTCACAAGGGAACAGCTTTCTGGATAGCTTGACTTGCAGTACTGGGGTCATGAGTTCAGTTACCACCCAAAAAAAATAAGGTTTGGTGATCAAGTGAAGAGAAAATCCCAAAACAAAACTGTAAGACATTCCTGGTTTGAGGTTTAGTGGGGATACGAGTCATTTTTGTGTTTGGATTAATGCTGGTAATATTACCAAATGCAAAAAAAAGCCAATTAACTTCTCTGGGTGACATAATCGACCAAATACTGATATTGCCATATTTAGGAAATAATGCCTGCCAGCATTTTTGTCCCTTTGTCCACATACAGCTGCCAGCCAGGAAACCTTCCAGCTTTATGAGGTCAGGGATGAATTTAGTCCTAATTACCTCCAGTTTTTACAAACTGGCAGTAATTCTTTTGGAATTTGTTGCAGCTGTAGCGACACATGGTCAAGTGGCACAAATAAGAACTACCTAAATCTGTCACGTGTCATAACAACTACTTTCACAAGGCATTCATAAATGAGGCACAGGACTTTTTAAAAGGAACATACCACTAGAAAAGTGGCACAAATGATTTATTGAATCGCACCCAGATATATTAAATGCACATTTTGTATCAGCACAATCCCAGTACAATCTGTTGCAATCTCAGGTGAAACAGAAACAGCAGTGTTTACCAGTAGCTGACTACAACAATCCAGACCTTTCTATTCCCACTGAATAATACTGCTTTATCGTTCTTTGATACAGCCTTTACGGAGTAATTTAATGCAATTAGCATTCCTGTTGCCTGTTAGTAAACTAAAATCATCATGTATGCAAAGTTAACATGTTGTATGGCTATACATGCAAAATGTAAGAAGTGAAACAACAGGACAATCATAATCATCAATTAAAAAAAAAAATACTTGCAACCATCACTGCTAGCATTTTGAAAGACGTTAAAATGCATAATGTGCACCAGTCTAATAAAATTACATTGATGACCTTGGGCCAAGCTACACTAGTTGCTAAGTTTGTGTTTATTAAGCATACCAACCACTCATGGACAATACCAAACTGATTTATCAGTAAGACTCTCTCAAGATAGACATTTTGCTACTCTGTGTTGCACACCAAAGTAGGTTGCCCTGCTGTTGCATACTGACAAATACATTCCACAAAAATATGGCATAAAACACAAACAGATCAGGAAAGCCAAATTGCATCACTGTTTAAATATACAAACATTTGCAAGTATTAGTAACTATTTTCTACAATAAACATTTTCAAAACAAAAATGGACTTAATAAAAGTCCATGTAAAGAATACTTACTAAAACACCACTCCGAGTAATAGCTTCACGATAGGTGAAATTGCATACAGCCCATGCAAGATAGTATGTAGACATTAAAGGTGTTTGTGAAAAATGATCAGTAACCCATCCACCTTCTTCATAAACAGAGGTCTCCACTGGCATATTCGACAAAGATATATAGGAAATGTGATGCTTGATGCTTATTTTGAATGTTGCCTTATAAATAGGTTCATCGAAGCAGGGGAAAGCCTTTCTGGCATGAATGGGAGAAAACTGAGTCACTCCAAGTAGCCTAAAGAAGAGGGAAACATATTTCATTAATACACTAAATATTTAATCAATACACTAACCATACTCATCCAATAGCTAAAACGATTATAGAAAATCATGTCTTGTTGGACCTTCACTGCTAGTTAAACTTTAAGATTTCAGTAACTTGGTTGCACATAATTCTATCTGCAATAACCTCACAGCATTTAAAAGCCTAACTTCAGCACCCTGCTTCTGCCCTCACCCCTTGGAGCATTCCCCTTTTTAAAATCTTTATACACACCTTTTTTACAGGTGTCTTCAGTATAGTCATGTCACAAAATGAATCCCCCTTCTTCTTAGGCGGTGGATTACGCATGCTGCAGAGAGCACTGCCCTGTAATGATGAGGTGTAGCTCTCTGCAGCATCCTCCTCTGAGTCCAGGTTGGCTTAATGACGTGCCCCCAGGCAATGGTCCTTGACACCCTGGGTTTACAGGAAATGGTTGAGGTGTCAATTATCCCAGGTGATAACAACCACTAATTCACAGAGTCTGTGGGGGAAGAGTGCCAGATATGAGGTCATTATTGCAGACAGACATGCATTTTATTTGAATAGCTGCTGGGAAAAAAAGTTGGAATTCAATTGAGAATACCTGATTATTCAATACCTCTACAAAAGTGTACTTAAAGTTAAAGTCTCCTTCCTTTCCCTTTGACTAAAATGAATGGGGGCTTCACTTGCTTCAGAATCCTCCTCCACTAAAGACAATTGTAAAGTGCACTGCTCTGCTTTAAAAATGTATTCTTTTTTAATTTTATTGTATGGCTGTGATAAGAACATATTGCTGCTTTATAATTTGACTCCTATATATCATTCAGTTAGGGTTTACATCTGCTTTCAAGAATTACTTTACTTTCATATATTGCAGGAAGAAATTGCTAAAGTAATGCCAATATATCTGTAGAAAAATTGCTGGACCTTAACCCCTTCTTGACTGAGTTAGTTTTCAGTTTCTGTTCATAAATGACACACTTTTTACATTTTTGCTGTGTGATTCTTCCACGTCAGTAATATACTTTCTTACTAAATGTACCCACACATATTATATATTGTTTTTATAGAACAGATAGGGCTATATAATTATATCAAACATGTGTACCTAACACCTCACTTAGTTCAAATAAAATATTTTAAAAAATGAGGAAAAAACTTAAAGAAAACACAAGTTTTGATTTTTATTTTTTTGACATTTTTTATAATTATAGTATAAAAAATATGTTTATGTATAATTTTTTTTCCTATTTTTTACACTTTATTATATATTTTTTTACACTTTGTAAAAAAATAATAATAATTTTTTGTCAGTTTATATCAAGCAGTCACTATGAAACTTTTTTAATTTTTGGTTATTATTAGGCTGCTCAAAACTTAGGAACAGCTAATAAGAACCTTAGAGACTGATCCTGACAGCATGTCAGAATCAGATCTCACTAAATGACTTTGATCGTGCCTAGACGATCAGAAGTGATACATTTCAGGCACAGAGATACATTGTAATATTCCTGTGCTTGAAATGTATCATAAACTTCGGGCCAGTCTATCGAGCTGTCAAAACAAATAGCAGAGGTGAGTCACTCTGCTACCTCTCTGCTATCTTCAGCTGTCAAATACGGAATCGCTATTTAGCAATCCGGTATTTGTATGTAACGGCTTCATTCTTTCATTAATGAAAGAAAGATGCTTTTACAAAAGCTTAACTATTTCATTAATGAATGCCTCAATACTGAGGCATTCATTAATGAATGGTAACCACTGAGAATCAGCGTTTACCGGCATTACAGAGCCTTAAATAACTTGTCACGTACTGTGTACGTGGACAGTCATATAGGCACTTTGTGGCGGGACGTACAGTGTACGTCTCCCGTCACGAAGTGATAAAAGGGCTCATGCACACGGGCATAAAATACGCTGCATAGTTTCTTTTTACGGATCTATATGAAGCAGTATTGCATACTATGGGCCAATTCACACAGCTATGTTTTGTTCTATAGCATTTAGGTGCATAAACAAAAACAAGAAAAATCTGCGTCCGTGGTCCAATCTTGATGTGTGCATATAAACGTTGGTGTGAATGTTTACATTTTAAACATGGCCATATGCACCACTGCTGCTGCCTAGTGATTTCAGGGCCAGGTGGAGATGTAAACATAAACAATGTGTAGGCATCAGCAGTAGCGCAGGTACAGAATTACTTAATGCCAAGACCATTCTGCATCTGCACCACTGCCTACACATGGTTGATGTTTTCATTTCCTCCGACCCCCTTCCTCCCCCACTACGCACAGGCACAGACTAACTGAAGGCTGAGGTCATTCTACACCTCCACTGTAAAAATCTCATTCATGGCCAGGGAGGAGATGTAAACATCAACAATGTGTACAGAACCACTAAGATGCAGAATTACCTTTGTATTAATTTATTCTGAATGAATGACTTTGTGCGTAGTAGACATCTCAATTCATACAGACATACGTGTGTGTCCATGTGAATTAATATGCACTACAGACCCCTTTTTACGCAGGATCTGGGTGCCAGCTTTCTGCCAGCATGACCCTGTATAAATGTATATGCCTATGTGCAGAAGGACAAAGCAGTTTCAGAGTTGGCTGGCCATCGTGGCTTGTTTACAGGCTTGGGATGCTAATAACATTACTTAGTCCCAATACATAAGATAAGCAGAGGGAAATGGGCTCTCTGTCAGGGTAGACAATAACGGTGCCTGACACAGAGTCCATCTCCTCATCCTTATCTCTTTCCAGAATGTAGTGTGGCTAGGTTTATGTGCATATCATTATCCGAAAATTCATGTACTGGAAATTGGCTGTAGAAAGACAGTGAAAGCTCCTTTTTCCATAAGATTCAGACTATGAATAAAACTTCTTTCATTTCCACCTTCCAAGTACATACAATACAGCATTTTTACTCTTTGAGATTTCTCTTCTCCCCTTCGCTGTAAACAGTGTGTTCTATTGACCTGTCTCAAGTAACAATGTAATGTGACTTTGAGTGAGAACTGAAGATGTCCTCATTTCACAAGTTTATTTTTATGCAAATAATTTAGTTCTATTCATATGATAATAAATGAAAAGGACACCATAGCTGCACACTGCTATATTTAGCTTTAAATAGTATAAAAACATAGAGATAGCTGATTTTTTGTAGAAAAGTAACAAAATGTAGCAAGTCAAAAATATCAAGGTCGGTTAACTGTATTCAGAGTTACTCATGGTATGTCACACCAATTAATCCAAAGCTATGTTCAGCTATCCTAGAAATGTCATGCCATATGTTCACTGAATGTGCCCTAATTTATTTCTTCTGTATAACACAATTAAAAATCTATTGACAGTAACACTGCATACTATTACTAAACACGTTATAGTTTATTCAGATTTGAGGTTACGAAAGGCTTCCATTTTACAAAATAATTAGAAAAGTATTAGTTATTTTAATGGTTTGTTAATGGGGAAAATG